CCCGATTTGATGAGATAATTGTTGAGAAATTAATTTTTTAAAATTTGAGTTTCATTTTTAAAAATTACAAAATAAAAGCTTTTCAATCAAAACTATCTTGATATCTAGTAATCCAAATTTAATGATTTTGGTATCATTCAAATTATCTCAATGAGACAATTCGAATGATAGCAAAATTATCAAGTTTAAATCATTAGAACATGTGATATTCGTGAAAAACGCTATGCAATACAAAAAGAGTTAGGTCTCAACAAATTAAAATAAAACTCAAAAATTTAAAAATTAAGTTCTCAATAATTATCTCATCAAATCGAGTCAAATTTTTTGTCACTAATACAGAAATCATTGAAGTTTAATCTATTAATTTTTAGAAGTTTTGGCTTTAAGCCTTGACGATATATTAAATTTTCTTTAAATACAATTATTTTTTTAGACGAAAAACATCCAAACTTTGGCTCTCATCTAAATTTATTTCTAGTAATTAAAAAATCTTCAAATGAAATACACGATCTAATCTGTGTATATACTAACTTTTCTGAAATTTTCAAGGTCGTAGCATCTCTTTATAAGGAGATATAGGTGCGGGAAACTTTTGTCGGACACTGTATTAATATGAGTATAATACAGTATTTTTAAGGCAAAAACCCATATATCTCTAGCTAGAGATATCTAGAATTTCTTATACTAAATACTGTATCAAAATTTTGATTTTAAACCCTAAAAACTTTTTAATTTTAAAATAAAATAAAAATCTATTCTAACAGAATTGTAGTTTGAACTAAAAACAACAAATTTATAAAACAGATTTTTTTAAGTTATTTGTTATAAGTATTTTTATATTTTAACTGTCCCATACTGTATTACTGTAAATTATTTACAATATATTAAAATTATAATCATGAGCCAAAATTATTTAATGCTGACTGAATTAAATAGTTAATTGATAGTTCGTGAATAAATAAGAATGACAATAGAGGAGATTTTATAATAAATATAGTAACACAAAAATCACCTTTTCTATATAAATATACATGATTTTAAAATTAAATTGCTTGTAACTTTTGATATACTAAACCAATTTTACCGATCTTACTACCATTATAATCACAAAAACTAGCTCTACAACCTTTGTTAGAAGCTTATAAAAGGTTTGCTTAATAAAAACCAACTTTATATTGTAGGAAAGGGTGGTTTTTGTATTATAATATACAGTATATATATGTTATTATTATAAGAATTTATTATTAGTATTCTTATTTATTTGCGAACTACCAATTAAGTTTAAACTGTTAAATGGTTAAACGATTAGAAAAATTTTGTCTTTTGGTCGGTAAAGTATAATTATATTTAAGGACACCGTCAGTCAGTTGACAGTCTAATTACGACTATCATGATTACGAGTCTTCCGTTACGCTCCGGCAATAAATAAATGCTTGAAATTTATTGATTCCCAATCGGTGCACAATACGTTAGACAAAATAGTACACGGTGACAAAAAAAAAATCAGACTGATTATTACTGTATATGAGTTGTATATACTTCCGTATAGTAAAAATTTGAAATAATTGTTATCAATTAATTAGCATTGTATGGTGAATTATAGAGTACGTATGCATTTATCAGAGAAATATATCGTGTATGCATTTATAGATTGTATTTATAAAGAAATATATCAGATATCTGATATTTTTTTGTATACGTACGTAGTTTTTCGAAAACGCATTTGTTAATTAGTCACATGATATTGAAATAAAGTTTTGTTAGTGGCTTGGACAAATATGTATACATCGTCCAAGTCAACTGACCCGAATTTATAATTGCTAATACAGCATTCAACTCATTCATTTAGTTTTTTCGTCTCTTCTCGCAATAGTTTGCCGATACAAAGGGATTATTGTATGTATGTTCTTACATTTTGTACTGTACCATAACTTGGAGTAGAAATATAAATAATAAAATAGACTTGAGTAAAATAGTTTGTACTGTATAAAGCGATCTTCACATTTTTCTTGATATAACACGGCAAATACGATTCTAAAATAGCCAATGCTAGCATGCTAGCACCCACTTCGTCTTCATCTCTTGTTTCTCAAGAGAGTTTCTCACCGCCCTCTGCCGCTTCGACATCGGCGTCGTCATCGAATGCAACAGTAATTGGTGACAGTAGCGTCAATAGCAAGAATAATTTATCAGAATGTCTCACCACGTCGTCCTCAACGACACCCTCCTATTTTATGATATATTACTGGACAATATTGTATACTTATATATCAAATATTTTCAGTAAAGCAACTGCACGGCTGCGTAGGCGTTCCACTGTCGAGCATGCATATTTAACACAAGCAGCACATTCACCGGACGCGAATAACAACACAAATAATAGCAATTTACCACAACCACCACTACGTCGTTCTCCACGATTTAAATCAAAAAGGCAGTTGCAGCAGCAGATTGCTTCTTCTTCAGCTGATAACCTTTCTCTTCAAAAAAATAATTCGGCGCTTCGATTAAGAAATAATACAAAACAAGTTAACCAAACCTCATTGACATCTTCACAATTATTTTCCTCGTTGATGAAAACAAAAACACTTATCTTGGATTTAGACGAAACGCTAATACATTCAACCTCAAGGGGATTACGAGCTGATGCACATATGATTGAAGTTATGGTGGATAATCATGCTTGTCTATATTATGTCCACAAAAGACCACATGTGGATCACTTTTTAAAAAAGGTAATATATATTGAACTGATATGCATAAATGTTAAAATAATAAAAATTATATACTAAAATAATGTAAATTATTAGGTTAGTGAATGGTACAAGGTGGTAATTTTCACAGCCTCTATGCCTGAATATGCCGACCCAGTAATTGATTGGCTGGATCCAAATAAAAACTTGATCTCATACCGATTTTTTCGCCAGGTATAAAATGGTATTTGTGACTTGGGTTTATAAATATTCATTGTGGATTGGATAGAATGCCTATGAAGACCTTTTTTTTTTTTTCTTTGTTTTAATTATATCAGTCTTGTACCAATCGAAACGGAGCATATATCAAGGATCTAACGATCGTTGAGCCTGATCTTTCGAGAGTATGTTTAATTGACAATTCACCAATTTCTTATGCGATGCACCAAGGTAATCAGTAAATAATTAGAATAATAGCTCCTTGTTCAAATTAATCATGACGGTTTTTTTTTTTTTTCTTTACAGAAAACGGTATACCAATCGAAGGTTGGATCAGTGACCAACATGATGAAGCGCTGTTAGATTTGCTACCCTTTCTTGATGCATTAAGATTTACTGAGGATGTGAGATCTATACTTTCTTTACAGACTTATTGAGAACAAGAGATTTGAAGAAAAAAAAACAATTAAATATGTATATGTTTCATGAATTTATCTATCATTCAGTATATATTATTTGCTGTGTAAACATTGCGCCGAGTTTTCGAAATTTCGTTCGACTACCATTTAGTTGTACTAATATTTGTGCATCTCATGCTTTTTATACCTCGTAATGTGTATTTTTTTTTGCTTTCAGAAAGCTACCTAGATGTATAGGAATTGAGTTTCGCTAGAAACTTTTAAAGATAATGCAATTGTATATGATCAATTACTCCTCACTATAGTTGGAATAATATTTAAATCCGCCAAGAATACATATACATTTTCTTAACGATAATAAATTAAGATTGTTTAGAATTAATGGGTCTAAACACAAGGTTGATCAAAAAAAACGAAATTAGCTTAACGTTTTATATAAATTAGGTATATACGAAGATTAAGATTATTGCAATTAATATACTCGCATATCAAAATTAACTAATGAAATCGTTTAGGAAATATTTCGTTTTCGTATTCCCAGATATGAATCTGAGGACTCATTAAATATTGTATACCTATATACTGTACTACTCAAAAAAGTATATTTTGTACTTCAATAAAGGCTTTAAATACTCCTGTCCATAAGCCATTAAAAAAAAATTCACATCAAGCCATAAATAAAGGCAAAAAAAAAAGTAATAGTAATAAAAAAAATGAAAGTAGCAGGACCTGCCCACTTTATATCTATCTCATCACAAATAAGAATCGATTGAAAGTACATGCTAATAAATAATAAGAATAATAATCATTCATCAAGGCTATTACTATTAAGACCTATTAAGACAGTTTAAAAAATTATAAAGACAATCATTTCCAGTTCATCATAAAGCTCACTGACTGCTCAGCAATTGTTTTACATTTTTAGGGGTGGAATCATCATTCAAATGTTTGGTATTGAAACGTAGAGCAGATATCAGATTTGTGTATTCATCAGATCCATGAGCTTGAATTGCCTTTACGGATAATTTTATCTGTATAAATTTAAATAATATTAATTATTAATATTCCTATTTCAACTATTGAAATATATATACTATGTATAACGTACGTTAATAGATGAATGTCTATTAAAAGCTCCATGTGGATCAATATGATCATATAATATAATAGACGCAACCATCACCCTTAAACAAAAGGCGGTCGTTTCAGGCTTTTGAGTTCTGTAAATATATTTTTCGAATAATTAATTTTTTTTTTAAAAAAAAAATCAGTTTTCCAAACTAGTCACTGTTATTTAAAAGTATAACCGTACCTCCTTTTCGTAACAGCATAATAACATGCGGCAGCCAACCCTGATAGACATTCAGTTACACTTTTTCCAAAATTATTCTAGAAACGAGAACAAAATTAAAACTTATTAACTTTATAGGGAATTTTACTAAATTAATATTATACGTATGTTTATATATGGCTTTTTTTACCTTTTCAACGAAGGTTGAAGCTACATCTGTAATAGTTTTCAACATTGGCGTCGGATATGCATAGAATAAGGAAATTTTGTTTGCCAATTCATCCTCAATCATGGCCGTTTTCAAATCTGTCTAAAGTTGTGACAATTATATTAGACGAAATAAATAAAAATAAAGTAATAATAATAATAATTAAAAATAATAATAATAATAATAATAATAATAATAATAATAATAATAATAATAATAATAAATGTAGAATAATTATAATTAAGACTCACTTCATTTGCATGTTTTCCTCTGCTCAGTGTCCTTCTATAATAAGAAAAATCGTTTTGAATTGATGGTGTTTTCATCTTATTATTTTGAAGTTATTATAAAGATTATTATATAAATTAAGACATGAATATTTAAATGTATAATATATATTTATATAGTATTTTTATATTTTAAGAAAATAACCTTTAAATAGTCAAATTCAAAAGCAAAGTCCAGTATTTGAGCCAATGATTTTGTGAGAGCTTGATTCTGTTCGATATTTTTTCTAACATTTCCTTCACAGAGAACTTTTAATAATTCAGATACAGCATTCTCTAATAAAAAGAATTTAATAATTAATAATAATTAATAATCATTAATAGTATATATAATTAATTATTATAACACTCACCTAAAGAAGTTGAATATTCAAAAAATTTTTTTAATTTTGCAACTACAGGTTGAACGGCTTGCCAGGCTTCCTCTTCATTATCAGGTGTTGGATTGGATATTGCTTTCCTTATTAAATCACCACATCCTTCATAACGCCGTAAAGAATCCAAAAGTGTTTCAGTGGGTTGGAGAATATCAGAGATATGTTCATAAAGAGTTAATTCAGCCTGTGTCGGCGTGGCATCTAATGCATTAAAATTAGTCGTTAATTATTGAGAAAAATTCAAAGAAAATATTGCGATATTAACAATGATTAATCATAAGCAAATCCTTTATAATATATTCATGTAATAAGCTATCTAATTAATTATTAAAATATTATTCATACTTTTATGATAAGTACCCAAAAAAATTGATAGTTTCATAAATTATTATAAATTCATTTTGCCACGCATTTCCTTTATAAGAGTTTGTCCTTTCAGCCAATGTTAAATCTTTTCTTATTCAATTATTACTTACTTTCAAGGTCGAGATTTAAATCTGGTATCGCTGTGTCACCATTCCATTTGCAAAAGAGTGAAAGTATTACTCCCATTTTGAAAAGTGTAATGCTTTTGCTTTGAATAAGCGAAGGGATTATTCGGGAGTTTTGAAAATTTCAACCTAGTTTAACAAAAGTTATAGTTGTGATGGAAGGAGTGAGTGGTATGAAGCTCGGCAGTCAAGGAGAAAATATTCAATAATTTGTTGAGTTTGTCGTTGAAACACAAGCACTAATATTTTATCTTTTTATTTTTTACAACGTAAAGTTAAATAGAATATTTTTGCATCTGGAACCACAAATCCTCATAAGGTAAAATATGGACACCAGTTAATCAACCGGCTACATGAAATTAAAGGTAGAGTGCATACATATGTACCAAATTTCATATGAAATTGTTTCGTGCTACCCACGTGGAAATAAAACATTTGTACAAAGCACCTTTCATAATAAATCATTATTAAAGAATTTTTATGAGTGCAGATCGAACTTTTTATAAAGGCTAAAAAAAAGGTATATAATATCCAAAGATCAGATGTTGAACAGTTCGTTTGTAATGGTATAGTAGAATAGTTGTTAGATATTACTACTGGACACTTTGAGAAAATTTTCCTTACTAAGTGGATGTCCAATGGTTTCTAGTTATAAATAAAATTATTTCGCGTTTCATACTTGTGGAGTAATTGTTTCTGGACCTAACCTAAATTTGTGTAGTGCGATCGATGATGATCGTCACAGATCGTCATTGAAAATTAACGTTAATCTTAAATAGAACGATGCATTATTTTTATAAACCTCTGGATATATCTTGAGCCTATTCAATTTGAAATTTTCGAGCTAAAGTGAAGAGGCAGATTCTATTCTGTTCTAATTTTACTATAAATTCCAATAGGAATATTGCTTTATTCGGAGGTTGCTTTTTTATTCATTAAGATATTGTAATGCCTAAATTTTGTTATTTATAAATCGAGACTAAACAAGATAGGTTGATTTTGCACATTAATAACAGTATTAGACTTGTAATTAAAATTTTATAATATGCTTTAAAGTTGTGATTTACTATCTGCTATTGCTATTAAATTTATGATTTTTCGCAAATCTTATTTTCTTAATTTTCCTCCCTTTTGTAACACCTAGCCTATTTTATTTCCAATATGTGAGTAGACCAATTTCATATTCGCTCTTTATGTCTAGTCATTAAAAATAATTATATTTTAAGAAAGTTTGAATAATTCTTTAAATACTTTCAGTCTATAAAAACCCTTTTGGATCAGATTACAAAAATGTGGATTAGAGACAAGCTTTTAATATGTAAAATATCAATGTAAATTTACCTTTAAACCATTTAACTGCATATAGAATTATAACGATAAATTGCTAATGTATATTAAAATTTTGATCCACGCACTTAGTGAAATAATCTCAATTTTAATCTGAACTAAAAATAAAATTAGGGGTGGTGAATAATTTCACCACTATTGGCGAAACTGGTGTTGAATTGGTGAAATTGGTGAAACTAATTCCACCAGCATCTCTTTTTGCTATATATTGACCAAGATCAACGTTAGTGAAATAATTGGGAATATCTGAGCGTGCGCATATACGTAGAATTATTTTTATTCACACTTATCAACTAAAATCTCTATGAATGTTAATCGTTATTACAAGGATAAATTAAGAACTGCAGATAAATAGACTCAAACTGTATTAGCGTTAGGTAAATGATCTGATACTTTATTAGACAAATTTACTATTAGCATACTCAACCAAAATTGGATGAGTAAAATAATTCAAAATATATTACGTTACAGTTAAATTTAGCTATTGTACCCAAGTAGAAATATATGGTATCCCGAAATCTATAATTTATTTGGATAACTCGGGTAATTTAAAAATTTTTCATATTAATATGGTAAGTGTATATTATCCTTTTTTTTCCGCAACGTCGGGAATAGTGCTCCGAAAGGGGTCAAAAGTCCCGGGTACCCGACCCCAGAACATAAAATCCGAAAATTTACACACGACCCCAAGTGATAAAAGTATAATGTGCATGAAAAGTACAGTATATAGATAAAAAATTTGCCTAGAGATTGAGCTATAATAAATTACCGGATAACCGGATAATTTTAATAATATTAATATACGAGCGGAGATTTTCAAACCCGAGTTTGTTACTAGTCGGGAATAAATACCCGAAAGGGCCCTCATATGATCGAAGATCTACTGTAAGGGAGTTATTTATTATAATCATAAATTTAATCATAGTTTTAATCTATGAAAAGATCAAAGTTTCCGTTATTTCCTTAGTTTACCGGGAAAATAAAAAGTGTTACTGGAAACCAGTGATTGCAAGTCGTAAAACCCTGTCATGTGATCATATAGAAATGTGGAATAAATTTTGATATTTATATTTTCAGCGAACATTAGGGGCTCTATTAGGGGCCGTGTAATATACTAGCTTCTTAGTGTTAGACCCGTCGTTGAACGAGAAATCCGAAATGTTAAAATCTATGCACAAATATTACACGGATATGCCATATCTGAATTTGCAGACTTTAAGTTTTTTTAAATATAGATCTAGATTAGGTGTATGTACTGTATTAATGCGTTTTTATCGGCCAATGACATGTATGAATCTTTCAGTAGAATTTGTCTGAAAGAATCTGGACATCCGGTGGGATTCCACAAATTTAGTTCCAACTTTGCAATGTAGAAAGAAACATACTGTAGCACATGAATGCTAAATTTGCTAAATTAAAAATTATATATTACAAAAATAAACGGTCATTGAAATAGTTACATTATGTAACCAAATCATTGTTGATATCTGTTTAAATAAAAACAATTGCCTAACTTGTGAACAATAAAAGAGGCTAATGAACACTGACCAAAATTATGAAATTTTCTAATTACTAATCTATACAAGTACTCAATGTAACAACCAATTTACTGTATTTACTGAATATATATACTGTATGTTAGAGTTGTGCTCTTTGCGAAAATTAAATCATATGATGTTATTTTGTGCGAATTAAACTCTTAATATAATCAGTAATTCGCCAAACCTAAATGTTTTTGTATGTATTATATGTTTATTAATACGCAAAAAAATATGTATGCAAAATTTATACGTACGTACGTACAGTACGTATGCAAAATTATTATGCATAAAAGTGTGCAAAATTAATATTGCAACATTCTATTTATATTTTACTTTTCATGAAACGAGCAAATGCAGGACAATATTCGGGAAAATTACCAATCGCCTACATTTAAACTTATGCAAACCTCACATTTCTGATCATGCTTTATAAGGAGAACACAAGTTTTGCAAAAACCCGTTAGGATTTTGGGGGTAGGTCCCAACGCCGGATCAGAAGATTTTGCTTGATTAAGCATGTCGACCATTATTAATGATATTTGTGATTTTTGCAAAAATAGAAATATGTTACTAATAAAACTTTTCACTGTTAAAATTAATTTTTATAAAATTTTTATAGTAAATAAATTAGAATATGTTCTTAGTATAAATTTTAATAGCTAAAATATTTTAAAAAAATATATTTGTATATATTGCAAAGTTTTCTGGGATGCCATCAAAATTTCTGGGTTACACAAAATTATCAATTTTGATTGGTTCATATTATATGATCATTATATAACAAAAAATAACACCTAATTTTTAAATATATCTACAGTATCTTAATGAATATTTAGCCAATTTTAATGATTTTACTATTATTAGAATTAGAAAAATCTATTTTACAACTTTTATTTAATTTTTTAATTGATGATCCGCCACTCAACAGGTGCATGATCTTAGTAAAATGT